TGCCTCGGTTTACCCCCCTCCTCCCCGGGGCTTTCCATCCCTCTTATTTCATTCCTGCGCCATGCGATGCTTTTCCACCTCCCGGGAGCTGTCACATCAGGGATGCGGGATGCCCAGATGGGGATTTGGGGGGGGGGCACTACATGGGATGGCTGCTGCTCGGGTGACAGGGAAATGCTGGTGGGGGAAAGACAGGCTGGGTGTGGAGTGGAGCCCCCCCATCCCGGTCCTGCGCTGCGCTGGGATGCAGAGCCAGGAGGGCACGTGGATGGGGGGGGTCACTTCACTTTGGGGGGGTAGAAACGGTAATGGCACCATGCCTGGAAAGCATCCCCCTCCAGCAGAGCCATGTCCCAGGGCTGGCACCTGGGATGTCCCCAGGAAGAAGACATCCCTAGGAAGATGTCCCTGGGAAGGTGTGGTCCCCAGGAAGGTGATGTGCCTGAGAAGGAGACATTCCCAGGAAGATGTGCTCCCAGGAAGGTGGTGTTCCCAAGAAGATGTCCCCAGGAAGCAGATGTCCCTGGGAAGCTGATGTTCCCGGGAAGCTGATGTTCCCAGGAAGACCCAAGAAGATGTCACCTCTGGAAAGGAGATGTTCCCAGGAAGGAGATATCCCTAGGAAGATGATGCCCCTGGGAAGATGTGGTCCCTGGGGAAGAGATGTGCTGGAGAAGGAGACATCCCCGGGAAGATGTGGTCCCTGGCAAGGTGATGTCCCCAAGAAGGAGATGTCCCCAGGAAGATGTCATCCCTGGGAAGGAGATGACCCTGGGAAGGTGTCATCTGCAGGGAGGAGGTGTCCCTGGGAAGGAGATGTCCCCGGGGAAGGAGATGTCCCTAGGAAGGAGATGCCTCTGGGAAGGAGATGTCCCCAAGAAGATGTTCCCAAGAAGGAGACATCCCCAGGAAGGAGATGTCCCCAAGAAGATGTCCCCAAGAAGGAGACATCCCCAGGAAGGAGATGTCCCCAAGAAGGAGACGTCCCCAGGAAGGAGATGTCCCCAAGAAGATGTCCCCAAGAAGGAGACATCCCCAGGAAGGAGATGTCCCCAAGAAGGAGACGTCCCCAGGAAGGAGATGTCCCCAAGAAGATGTCCCCAAGAAGGAGACATCCCCAGGAAGGAGAAGGGGACGTCCCCAGGAAGGAGATGTCCCCAGCCACCTTTGCCCCCTCAAGCAGCCCAAAGCCAGGGAGACCCTCACCCCTCTCTGGGTCCCGCCTGCAGCTGGGGACACACAAACTGGTGCCAGCCGAGGGAGCTGGCAGTGGTGACAGCAATGGGGACACAGCCACCACTGGGGAGCACGGTGGCAGCCCGGGAGGGTGCAGGGGACACCGAGCTGGCGGGAAGCGGCGTTTGCCATCACCCGGCTCTCATTAACGTGGTGCGGAGCAGCCCCTAATAATAGCAACAGTAAATTCTCCTAACCAATTCGGGTCCATTTCTATAAATAATGTAGAATCTTTTTATTTACTGACAGGTTGTAAAAGTATCAGTGAGAATAATGTGAAATCAGGCGCTGCTGAATAATTCATGGCAGCGGCTCCGCTCTCCCCATCCCCGCGTTCCCCCAGCCCCGGCGTTTACACGACAGCACCTTGTGCCCGGCTTTATCTCGTAAAAAACGGGACTAACGACCTGGCACTAATTCTTTATCAACTGGGACTTTTACGGTGAGGGGAGGAGGGAGGAAATAGAAAGAAATAAAAATAACCCTGGGTGCACCCTATAAAAAAACGCACGGGAGCCGGTGATCGCCGGCGCGCTCCGCACCTCCCATCGGCAATTCCCTCCGGCCCCCAGAGCTTCTCCAAAAATTAGTACTAATTAGCAGCGCCCACAGCTCTGTGACAGCATCTCGAGGGTGGCACGACCCTGCTGGGACATGGGGACATCGGCAGGACCCATGGGGACACCAGCAGGACCCATGGGGATGATGGCAGGATACTGGCTGTCCCCATGTCACCCCCAGGGATGCTGGCATGGGGTAGCAGACCCCCCCACACCCCCCTGGGGGTGCAGATGGGTTAAATTTGGGCAGGAAAACCAGATCCCCAGGGCTGCTAATCCGTGTGACAACCTGATCCGGTGTCCCTCATCCCTGCTGCCACCGCCCAGGGCGATGAGGATGGCAGGGACCCCCCCTGCAGCCCTCCCCTCCCCAGAACAATACCTTTCCAGCGCTTGTTTTGATGTGCGGCACAAAGCCGGGAGAGCTTTCCATGTAACATGATAAAAGCAAGTCCCCAGCCAGCACAATTATTTGATAATTAAAATTCTCCCTTAACACCCATCAAATTAAAGCAATGTCCAAGGGCTGCCTGAAGTGGCACTGATAGGTATTAAACTTTAATGAGATTTAATGGCACTGCCCTACTTTTTAAGCGCTCAGGCCTTACGTTTATGAACATTTAATTTCCCAGGCCCTGACCTCTTTTTTTTTTTTTTTAATTTT